AGTGTCGGTTTCAACAAAAAGTTATAAAAGAACCCGAGATAGAATTTTAGTAAAATACAATGACATTAAACCTCATTTTAATGAAAGTATTCATAAAGGAATTTTTCAAGGAAAAATGATTTCTTTAAAGAACGTAGAGGTTTACCGAGCGAATTATCCCGACGGGTACCTACGAGCCCAATACGATAGGTCCGTAGAATTTCGAATATTTAATGTGGGTCCAACGCCCACATTAGTTTAAGAGACTCCGTTGGAGTATAAATTTCAGCGGCGTAAAAGTTAGAATGCCATGTATAAGTCCTAGGCTGAATTGGGCCTTAATATCATACCAAGGGAAATTTAGGAAAATAAGATTTTGAAGATTTAATAAATTAATCTTTATTATCCTTTAGTAAAGGAAAGGAATATATGCCTTATGGAAATGGTTAGATTTTCCTTCATAAATTGCTAAAATAATATAGCAAATAATAGTTAATCTCACACTCTTAATGGGTGTTCAGTTTCAGAAGAAAGCAAGAGACTAGGCTGATAGGCGAAAAAGGGATTCCAGCTTTGAAAATCAAGTAAGTAGGAATCTCGCCTACAGTATAAATAGATTTTAAAGTAAATAGTACACATGAACTATATATGTTTGAGTACATTTAATGTTATGAATGCTATGCTATGTTATACTACATACACTTAGGCAGTACACCCGAATTATATGTGTTCGAGTACATGATATAGTATGCTATGCTAGGTCATATTGCATACACCTTAATAAGTCAAGAGGAACCTATAAGAGTAATCTCAGTTGAGTGCCGTACCAGCCTCCACAAGGGAGGTAACTCAAGCTCCACAAGGGAGAAAAAAATAATAATAATGATGTCCTCCGACTCAAGGGAGGCATTCAAGTTATAATCACGGTGTCATGGGGGACCTTGCAAACTCTCACGTCCCGATGATTGCGCGCAAGTGGTACGAGCACTCGGGCCCATCAGTAAGAAAGATAAGATAAGATAATAAGATTCTGATAAGACATCATAATTAAGCATAATTGGCTCATGCATATTTATTCATGTGAACTTACAGTTATTTTGCGGGAGATAGTTCCTACTTGCTGAGCGAAAGCTCATTATAGAATGTTTATACTGTAGGTAAGCAACCCGCATATAATGCCTGATGGACTGCTGGCGAGTGGACGAACGATGTGGGGCTCGGGATATGGATACCACTCGCAAATATTTCCGCAATCAGCTTTATGTTACAAATAGTTTTGTTAATTATGATTATGAAACAGATATGTTAAGGTTTGAATATTTTAATTAATAAAGCAATTTCGTATTTTATGTTTATAATAAGACCCTTAAAAAAAAAAAAAAATGTTCCGTAAATTTTAAGAAATTTCAGTAAGTACAAGTTAAAAAGTTAGTTACAGTGGCGGCCTCAAAGGAGGGTCGCTACAGTAAGCTTGTGTGAAACGCCAAGAGCATCAAGAGCAAGCCAAGCATTTGGGAAGAGACCCAAGGCTGCACCAGTGGCTCTAAGCCCATCCCATCTCTCCAAAATCAATGCTTTAATCCCCACTCTCTTCAGAGCCACTGCTGTGGCTAGCCCGGCAATCCCTGCTCCCACTATTACTACTTCTTCCACAATTTCCATCTCTCTCTCTCTCTCTCTCTCTCTCTCTCTCTCTCTCTATAGTAAATTGATTGATCGGATAATTAGCTATATCTATATGTGTGTGTGTGTGTGTGTGTGTATGTGTATATGTAGATACCGTACCCCATTCGAGTTCTAATTCTTGTTTCCATTCACGAGATTCCATGTCCTAAACAATATGAATGAAGGCCAGAGTGTTTGACCAAAACACAAGCCAATAATATTTGAATCGTGGTTTCTTGTTTGACAAGAAACGATGATTACCATACCAGGCAAAGAAACAAATCCACATATTTTTGGACAACATTAAGAGCGTTAGAAAAGTAAACCACAAAAATTAGAAAAGCACACCACAGAAACAACGTTGAAAGCCTATCCATTTGTTTTCAACAAAGTGCCTCGTTTGACCAGCCAAGTTGGTTATATGCAATATTATTACAAAGTTGAGGACGGCAACAATCTCACAAAAGGCTTTCAAAATGTTGTGTTACTTGTTAGAACTTGAACAAAAAGTTGATTATTACTCCGAGGAAAATTTTCAAGGTAAACAAACAACCTTCTCTTCGAAGCCCTACATAAACCTAAAGAGTCGCCAGAGACCGTTTGACCTAGTGGCACCGGGGTTTGGGTGCAGTGAGGAGATTACGGGAGAGATTGCGGATTCAGTCCCACTTTTTATTTTTTATAAAATAAATCTATTAATTTGCCATTTACTCATAAAACTTACATGGAAAAATCAGGTACATGGTTGTTTTTTAACCACCATTTTTAATAAATGGCCAAATTTTTTTATTTTTTAAACAAATGGATGATTTTTTTTTTTTAAGTAAAATGGTCGTCTTCCCAATAGTCAATGAGTGATTGACCAAAGGTCACTCAATGATTGATTGATTCATTATTATAATTTATCAATGATTTATCACTAATAAACATGTAATTTGTTGATTAAAATTGATTAATTACTGATAGAATTCACTTAATTATTAATTGATATTGATTAACAATGAAAAATTATCGAGTTAATAAGTGATAAATTAAAATCAATCAGTAATTGACCACTAAGTCAATTTGTAATCAACTACTAAGAGCTCGTTTGGTTCATAGATTAAAATCATGAGATTAGAATCATTTTCGATTTACGTGTGTTTTTTATGAGAGAAAATATTGTAGCGAACCATGAACCATGATTCGAATCAAAGAACGAATTCTCTAACCAAACGGGCTCTAAGTTAATAAGTGATTGACTTTTAATTTAAATAAAAGAAACGGTTATTTTGCTAATTTTACAAAACTTCAACTATTTATCAAAAACTCCTTACAAAAGGGCCATATATATGTTGTTATCCCAACTCATATCGTAAAGACTATTATTTTTAAAAATGCCACCGAAACTACGTCATTTAAGTCAATTTGCCCCCTAGAACTTTAAAATGCACCATTTTCATTATCTCTGAATTTGTTTCATTGGTAAGAATACTCTCTCTGTCAGTTTTGTTTTTGCGCTTTTTTTTTCTCTTCTTTTTTCCCCCCCTTACTTTTATCCTCTTCAATTATGTCTTAAGAACGGCCTCAATACCCAGATGCAAAGGCCATTTGTTTGTTTGTTTGAATTTTGCTGTCGTTTTTCGAGTTCTTGTCGTTTTATGCTTTTTAGATCTTCTTGCCATTTCTCATGTTATTATCCCGTTCAAAGATTTTTCTCGTCGGCTGCCTGTGGCTTTGAAACTGATCGCCGTTGCCATTTGTTGCCTTCAGATTTTTTATTTCGTATTTAAATTTGTTGATTTTTTTTTTTAGTTACTGTCTTTTCTAGGTTTGTGTGAATTTTGATTTTTTGTCGTTTTGAGTTATACAGAATACTGTTTCTTTTTCGTTTTAAGAGTCCATCTCTCCGTCTCAGGTGTTGTGATTTTCATGGTAGGTGTCGTTTTTTTTAATACAAAGTACGAGTCGTTTTCGTGTTATTGTTTTTCTCATTTCTTTTATTATTATTATTGTTATTATTATTTGCTTTGAGACCTTCTCTAGTAGGCCGGTCTACCAGTAGTCTAAGTTTTTAACCGTTAAATCTAGTTAAAATCATATTAGATTGAAAAGTATATAGAACAGACAGATTTTCATACAAATCTAATGACTGAAAAATAAGAGACTATCGATAATCTATTTTTCTAGGGACTAGTAAAGAAATTCCCTTTTTATTTTTATTTTTTTATGTTTCATAGACATGTGTGTGTATATACACACACACATATATATATATATATATATAAAATATACTTCTATAAAATGGGATCATAAACTGAAATTTTAAAAATAAAAACAAAGTTATAAAAACCGATTGAGGAGAAATTTGTTAGAGTGACTATTTAAAAAAGTGAAATTAGCGAAGAACGACCACCCGGTCTTTCTTCGTAAAAAGTAGTCGTTCTTGATTATTCTGTATTCATTTGGTAAACAAATTTTTTTTTTAAAAGTTATTTTACAAATAAAATTTCTCTATTAAGTCATTTTAACAAAGGGATCTCGGATCGAGTTGGGTTATGTTGCCCCGCTACTCCATACAAAAATAATAGAAATCTCCTCTTTCATTGTGATGTGAACTAGAGAGGGTTAAGAGAAGAAAGAGAAATAAGATAGGAAGATACAAGAGAGAGACGAGGAAGAGAAATTCAAGAGGGAAAACTTCTTTATTCAATATTCATAAACCATGTCTGAATTTTCGTGTAATACTGTAGCCAATTTATGGATCAAGTACAATAATTAAAAATGGGAAACCAATACAAAATCAATCCATTTGATTCCCTAACATTAAATTCAATCCTAACTTATTTCTATATCTGCGCCTGAAATAGGTTCGGACACTTGACGTGTGATCTGCTTTTTTTATTTTATTTTTTATATAGTAGGAAGTTTGCCACAATCATATTGTGTAACACTAGCAAGCATGCGGAAAAGAAATCTGTAAAATATTGAATCCCTGAAGAACTTAACAGCCCATGAAGAACCACCTTGTTGCACCCACCCTGAAAAATATGATCCTATGATCAACAAAACGGCGCGCCACCTCCTTTCCTCGACATAATTCGCCAAAACTTTAGGAACTTCACTGGGTACAAGGCCACCATTTTTTATGAAGGATGTTCCAATGTGCCTGCCTAGGACCACAGCATCTTCAAGTGCCGAGCAACCGCCCTGTGCCAAGTCCGGTGTCATGGGGTGCATGGCGTCGCCTGCCACCGTGACGTTTTGGTTGCTTAAGTTCCCAAATGCTACATTCCATGGCTGCCTGTAGACCAATTGAGCCCAGTGCACAGTAGAAAGATCAGAGTGCTTGACAATGTCTAGATATAGTTCAGGAAAGTCCTTGGCATAGTTCTCGATTATTTCTCTCTGTATTAGTTTCGGGTCCCTAGCCACGTGATCCGCCCCTACAATGGGTATAGCGAATTAATAAAACACAGAATGCAATTTTTGAGAATGTTAATTCTTCACTTTGATTTGTATGACATGATAAATTGGATTTCTGTGATGTAGTTAAAATGATTGTTTAACATAAACATCTCCTATATTTTGTCGAAATGTTGGGTTCCACCTTATATTCTGCCTATGCGTTTGCATAGCCGGTCTCAAGTCCAGGTAAAGGAGGAGGGTTGTGGTAGGTTGACGGCCAGCGTAAAAATAAAGCCACTCTCATGGATTTGACCGCTAGAAGCACCAGTTCGTGCTTGAGATGACATTCTTATTCCTAATACTAAAAGATGGAGGCATAGATCAAGAATTATGTAGACCGAAGTAGTTAGGAAAGACATTCTAGATCTAAGCCTTCCGGAAAGTCTAATTTCAAACAGAGTTGTGTGAAAAAGTGAAATCTATATAGCCGAGTTGGGATAAGGCTTGTTGTTATTGTTGTTGTATCCTCCGTGTTTTACAAATCGTGTTAAAGATCTATTTAACACGATTTTTAGGGAAAGGTTTTTAACATGGTTTGTAGAACACAAAAGATGGTTTTAAACACAGTTTGTAAAAACATGACACAAAGGATAGTTTTAAACACAGTTTGTAAAAACAGGGGAATAGGTGAAATATTCCTAAAAATATAAGGTGGAATATAACAAGCCAATGAAACACAGAGGAGGTTTTTGTTATTTTCCCAGAAGGAAATAATGATCATTGTTACTCCTATTATTCAGCGAATTATGACAGTAGAAGAACAAAGGAATTAAAAAGAGTAGAAAAAGGTATAATGTTTGAACCTTTAGGTGGAGTTGAACAACCATAGAACCAAAAGATATCTCTGTCAGTGACGGGAAGAAAACCCGACCTGGTTCCTGAACCTACAAACTGTTGGAGTTCATGTTTCAGTCCATGGCCTTGAGGAAATACAGCCAAGCCCCGCACAACTGTTCGACCCGCGTCGACAGGTGAAGCGAGTCCCAACCAGGTTGCCACCGCCGAGTGCACCCCATCACAACCTATCAAAACCTGCAATTCCCAAAGAGCAAACAAATTGAGGGCTCGTCGATTCGAGTTTTAATTCAAGTTGAGATGTGATTTTATGTGAGAGCTTTTTACTATAGTAAAAAAGTTAGATATAACTGTTTTTGAGAGCTTTTTACTGTAGCAAAACTCGAATTCTAAACTCGAATCGGTGAAATGAACAGGACCTGAGACTCTACAAAGGATGTAGATAGAATGACAATTGCCTCTTTTTTTTTTTTTTTTTTTTTTTTTTTGTAGCACATTGTTAGATGTTCTCAGGATTTGAGCGTAGGATCACCCCGTTAACCTACCCCGCCCTAGAACTGCCTGATGTTTGATGCGTGAGCCGAAAGCGGATTGCGTAATGATAAAAGCCGGCATTATGAGCACAATACCTTTGCTTTGATGATACTTCCATCTTCCATATAAAGAACAGCAATAGAAGAACCTTCATGTGTTATTGACCCGATGCCGTTGATCTTGGATGAAAAGCGGATAGAGTCGGCTTGCAATTCCTCTCCCAAAGCCTCGAGTAAGGCCTTTCGGTGTACTGATTTGGGCCCACTTTGATGACCACCACTTCACATACAAGACATCCCAAAAAAAAAAGTGCAGATAAACTAGGATGTATACATTATAGTCTCTTGTAATAAATTTAGGGTCCGTTTAGTTCGTTAATTCGAGTTGAGATGTGACTTTATGTAAAAACCTTTTATTGTAGCAAAAAAAGTTAGATGTGACTATTTCTGAGAGCTTTTTACTATAGTAAAATTTGAATTCTAAACTCGAATCGGTGAAATGAACGGACCATTATAGTTACAAAGAATTCCAACACAGGCTGAAAGAGAATTAGAACATTGCTTACGCATTAGTTCCACCGAAGGGGACTTCTTGAATTGCTCCAGTTTCCAAATTGGTTACATATGACCTTAACAACAAGCACAAAGAGGGAATACAAATCTTAAGATGTACAATTTTAATTTTAATTTTTTAAAGAAATGAGTTGATCAACATGATCAAGAACACATTTAGAAATAATCACAAAGGCGAAGTTCATTACAAAGAGTATTATTTTAATCCACAAAGCAGTTGGAATCTCCAAACGGAATTGAAAAAGAATAGTGTACCAACTTTTGCATAAATATGCAATGAATTATCATTCCATCGGTCGATGCAACTCTTTTATACAATGCATTTGACATATATAGTAGTTATCGGCAAGATGCAACATTTTAATTTTAATAGAATGACAACTCGAATGTCACATTAATTAGTATTACAATGTTGGGACTAAAGTTGGAACCCTTAACATTAGTGTTGTTAGGACTTTTGATCTTTGAATTTATATTAAATATTGTGACACTTTGGACGCTGAACTTTTAAATTTAGTAGATTACTCATGAACTTTTGTTTTTTTGACCGTTTTATCCCGTGACACTGGATTTCTAACTTCTAACATAGATGATCACATTCATATGACATAATAATTACTGAAAATTTTATATAAATAGTTATATTAAATGCAAAATGTTCTAATTTTCAATAGGTTCTTACATAGTTTATAAAAAAAACAAAAGGTTTTTACATTAATGAAATCTAATTTCACGTAATGCAACTATTAATGTAAAATTTCAAGTTATCATGTGATGGACATATGATTACCTCCGTCAATTTTAGTTCAAACATAGAAACTGACAAAAAAAATCAAAGTTCAAGAAGTAATCTATTAAAATAAAAAGTTCATAGTTCAAAAAGTAAACCGCAAAAATATCACAATACTCATAGTACTAACAGTGCTAGTAACTCCCCAACACTTCTCAAAAACATATAGAACATAACATATATTATGTTGGAGCTGCAAGAGCAATCCCAAGTGTAGAATTTCAATAGGAAAATGAAGAAATTAGAAAATATTTACTTTTTAGGCGGGCTATAGATTGTAAGCTTGTGTGAAACACCCAAGGCATCAAGCGCACGCCAAGCATTTGGGAGGAGACTCAAGGCTGCACCGGTGGCTCTAAGCCCATCCCATCTCTCCAAAACCAATGCCTTAATTCCCACTCTCTTTAGAGCCACTGCTGTAGCTAACCCTGCTATCCCTGCTCCCACTATTACCACTTCTTCCATCTCTCTCTCTCTCTCTCTCTCTCTCTCTCTCTCTCTCTCTCTCAGGCCTTAATTTTTAATCATAAATGTCTTGAGGGCATAATCACAATTAGAATATATATACACATACATATTAATTGCTCGTTTAGTTAGTTGATTCAAGTTTTTAATTTGAGTTGAGATGTGACTTTACGTTAGAGCTTTTTACTGTAGAAAAAAGTTAAATGTGACTGTTTTTAAGAATTTTTTACTATAGCAAAACTCGAATTGGTGAAATGAACGGAGCCTAAACATATGTTTACATGACTTTGACAAGGTGGCGGCTATGTATAAACCTTAAACGGGTTTTTTTTTTTATATATTTATTTCTTTTAGGACTTTTCAAAAAGAAAAGAGATTCAATTAACAAACACTTGGAAAGAAGTCAATATTCTTGTTTGACAAGGCTTTTCCCTTTTCTTGTTTTGAGAAGAAGTACAGTGCAACACGAATACGCTACTATAGAAGTCCTAATCACATAATCGGGAGAATTCTCTCGTGGAAAACAGCTTCGAAAACTCAACACTTTTTGATTGGGAGTTTAGAACTACTATTTAAATATATAATGAAAAAATGCTATATATATAGGCGTTACATCAATATTAATGTGGGGGAGAAATTAGTTCCCACCAACCAAAAAGTTTACATTTAGGCTTCGTTCATTTCATCGATTCGAGTTTTCAGTTTTAGGTTTTTATAGTAAAAAGCTCTCAGAAAATGTCACATCTAACTTTTTCTGTTACAGTGAAAAGCTCTCAGAAAATGTCACATTTCAACTCGTATTGAAAACTCGAATCCACAAAGTGAACGAGACCTTAATTGTCTAGTCAAAATCACTGTAAGTTCTTAATTAGAAAAATCAGCATATAGAGGAAACAATTATTTTATATAGTTAAATAAATTTAGGAAAGTTCAACGATGCTAGCAGTGGCGCATGGTGTGCTTCCAGAATCACTGTGTTCATTGATTAGAAGTTTAGAACCAGCCCATATAAATTTGTTCTTTCTTTTTAGAACGAGAATTTGAATTCATAATATTTGTATAACTGATCAATTTGAAAATTCAAAAAAAAAAAAAAAGTTTGAAAAGGAAACTATCTACCAAAATGTAAATTGACTAGCGTGAGTTCCTCAATTAAATAAAGTCATATCAATCATCGTTCGCTTCGTTTGATTAAAATGCATGCCAAATTAAATTTCTCCATTGACTTTTTTCCCTTTTTTTTTTTTTTCTATTAATTGATGGATGATTGTAATAGCAATGCATTTTGTGTTTGTATGTTCATATTGAATGGCAGTAATGGAGGTGGATTTCTTGGTGAGCTATTGGGAAAGTTATATTTTATGTTTGTTATCTTCAGTAATATATAATTTAGATTTATTTATATCAAACATTTTCAAATGAGAATATCTCTTTATATTAGGACATTTGAAGCCCACTCATTCATAACGTTTCTTACTAGTAAATTCTTTTTTTGTATTCTTTTGATTCTTAAATATGGAGCCGTTTGGTTCATAGATTTAGAATCATGATTCAGAATTATTCTCGTTTTATGTGTATTTGTTTTTTTATAAAAAAACATTGCAGAGAACTATGAATCATGAATCATGAATCAGAATCAGAGACGAATACAGGAAACAAACGTCCCCTCAGAAAAAGAGGAAATAAAGAATTTAAGGTAACTCCGCAACATGCCACTACTAGAAACAAATAAAAATAATTCACTAGAAAATATTAATTATTCCCTAATAGCTAGCATTCATATCGTAGTTCCCCCTCCACTTAAATCTTGTCTAGATGACAAAATTTTTATATGACTTCTTTTTTTTTTCCCCCTTGTCAATTCGGTTGTTTAATTGACTTGAAAATGTCAATGCACTAGAACTTGAAAGAAGAGAAAGTGCATCTTTTATTTTCTTCCTTATACAGAAGGAAAAGCGATAGAAAAGTGCACCACAAAAACGACGTCCAAAAGCCTATCGATTAGTTTTCGACAAGTCCCTCGTTTGACCAATATATTGGTTCCCTATACAATATAATGAGTCTGTTTAGTTCGCTGATTTAAATTTTTAATTCGAGTTGAGATGTGACTTTATGTGATAGCTTTTTACTATAGTAAAAAAGTTAGAAACAGTCAAAACTTGTACGGAGTCTTAGAAAGTTGAATGGTGAAAAGAACGGGGCCTTAGAAAGTTTATGACGACTCGTACGTACCTGTACAAAAGGCTTTCTTATAAAAATCAACAGGAAGTATGCGATACGACTTGGTAAAGAGTAAAATTCTATCAAAATAAGACCGACTCCGTTATAAAGTGACGAGTTTAAAACTTTATACCTCAACTTTTAAAAAGTAAATAAATAAGAGAGCATGTGCAGGTCATGACGTGCAGATCACATGTCAAAATGACAACTAATGCCCTTAAAATGGAGGTAACAATCAGTACATGTGAAAAACCGTTAAATATTAAACATACGTTATTATGTGTGCGTTTGGAATTGGTTCCAAAATGATTTTATTTTTTGTATGAAAATAGAAATAAAAATGTTTTCATTTTCATTTTGGAATTATTCTTGAAAATGTGTTTGGTAGTTTTATTCAGAAATTGATTTCAATTTTTTTAAAAAAAAGCAAAAAGAAAAGGTTGTTCACAAGCGCTTAAACACAAATATCCCGCAAGGAAGCCAAAACTTGATCCTATCCTAAAAAAAAGATTACAACTTTTCTTTCATCAACAAAACTTGACCTCATTTGAGAAAAGAAAAAAAAAACACATTACTGAAACATATGACTAAAACGATTGAAACTGTATATACAAAAGCAAACAAAATATGTGTGTGTGTGTCTCAGTTTGCGTGTATTGTAAATTGCTACTATAACTTCACAATATCCACAAGGGGGCAATAATATAACTTCACAGAAAGCAAAATTCAAGAAATATTACCATCAAATTCAATTAAGAAAAATTAGAAATAACACAAGAGACAAAAGCAGATACCTTCAACCAGACTTCAGTGTTGTTGGGTAAATTAGGGAGATTCCACTTGTGAATTGGAGTTGGAAATTGATAATAAATTCACCAGCAAGTATAAAAATTCAGTACAAACCATAGGAACACTCCAAAAAAGCCTCTGAAAACAAGAATCCAAAAAACCCATTTTAAAAGTTCCCCAAGAAAATCAGAGGATGACCCGAAGAACCAAAAAGGGAAAGGAGAAGAATCGGCTTACATGGCCGAGAGAGAAGACGTGAGAGGGAATTGGACTAAGATGGGTCACCCATGAAGGAGGCGAATACGGTTTCTTTGTGAGGAAATCCAAGCCCACTGCTCTAAAGGTGTTGGCCTCCATTTTCTGAAGCTGAGAAGAGAGAGAGAAAGTGAGTCTAAGAAGGCGCTTTTGCTGGCCAAAGATGGTGGTTTTTTCTGTATCGGGCGAGAAGAACGGAGGAACTCGGCTGGGAATCAAATGGCGCAGCTGAAATCAGAAGAATCTGGGCTGAAGAAGGGTAGAAAAAGAATGAAAACGGGTCTCTGATGGCTGAAGAGAGAAAAGGAAAACGGAGGAGAAAATGAAAACGAGTTTTTTCCGTTTTTAGATTTTCAGAAAACGACAAAAACGTTTTTTTTTTGTTTTTTTTTTTAAATTTGCACCAAACGCGTTTTACATCCGCGTTTTCAGTTTTTAATCTCGAAAATTGTGAAAAATGGAAACGAAGACAGAAACAAACAGGGCCTATAAGTACTACTTATGTCACAAATTACAGAATTCAAGGGGTTTAATTGCCAAACTTTTTAGTTCAGGAATTGGTTGTCTAAATGCGACATGGTTTGGGTACCTATGCGAAAAAGCCATATTAAAAAAAAAAACTTATTTAAATAATAATCTCTCCTTTCACTTATGTTGTGATTGCATAGAGAAGACCTAACCAAGTAATTATTCAACATCCCTATTTTTTTGTGTCACATGTGTTATTTTGTTAAATTTTGTAATCAAAAGAATTTATTTGTTAATATAGGAGAAACGAATGTTACGTTTCGAAAAAGTCGGGAATGAAGACCCCCCAACCGTCGGATGAAGACCCCAAAAGACCAACGACCAGGGATCACTCTCCGTATCTGACGGTAAGGGGAAGGGCGGAAAATTGAAAAGACGCGGATCCGACGGCCTATATTCGTTGTCTTGAAACACGGATACTCATCATTATGCCAAATCAATCGACGCGACAGTTATACACCCAAAGCACCCAGGCCATCATTGCGGACGGAGGTTTGGGACCGATTTCCCACACCCGAAGTACGGAAAGGACAAACCGAACCTAGAGCTCGAAGCCGCCTAAAAAAAGGAGCCCTCGACCTGGGGGGTGGCTGTTGTGTGGGAAAATGTGATGGACACCTGGACCAACGGCGCCACGACACGTGGCTATACTTGCTTTCCGTCGAGCACCCAACCCTCGACGCTTCGTTTCCCTCACGATCAGCTATAGAGCCCGAAGATGAAGTCCATGATTAGGGCGACGACCCCATGAGACGTCGACGGTTGATTCCGCCTGGGTCGACACGACAAGAGCCCTCGACTGCAGAAGAGATCACTAGAAGGGGCGAGAAAGGTTAAACAACCACTAACGACGAGGGGAACGTCCCTTTTCGACATGATAGGTTACATGCAAAGATAAGAGAAGTCTGACAGCATTAATTGCAAGTTTACAAACCGCCCCCCCAGGAGACAGAAAAGCATTACGGAGAGTCGCAGAGCCGTAATAGAAGACTAATTGGTTGAGTGAACAGTGCTGATTAGTGGGCTATGTCTGGGCCTAGAGCACTTGAGTGTTCCTACCTACGAAGGAAACCCACCCAGCGAAGGAAGTCCGAGTATAAAAGAAGAAGGACCCCAATAGGGAAGGGGCCCAGAAAAATTCAAAAGGAAAAAGAACGAGAGAGAGAGAGAGAGAGATAGTATTCATTGTAAACTATGATCTCTACAAAAGAAATATAATATATACAGTGGATGTAGCTCTAATTTTATAGAGTGAACCACTATAAAATTCTCCTTGTTCATTTACATATAGTTCATTCAAACACAAAAATACTTAAATCAAACCAGAATCCACACTTTCATTAAACCCACAAGCCGGTAATCCAAAGGGTAACCCCAAGGTAATCCGGCGGGTTTATTGTTGACGAAATCCAACCGTCAACACATGTAATCTTCTTTCTGAAAGCCTTGAATTTTCATAAGTTGATCTTATTGACTGTTATTCAAAAGGTGAGACCCTATAAAATAACAAGGGTTTTCTATACGCCCATGTGTTTTATCTAAATTATGGAGACACCCCTACATAGAATAGTGTAATTTGACAGTTAGATCATCTCCAACTGTGTTAGTTATTCCCATTTACTTTTCTGGTTTAGTTCAGTTCAATTTAGTTTGAATGGTGAGCACAATTTAAATTTGTGTTTGATAAGCATGCAATTCAAATATATTTCTTGTTTGAATTGAGTTAAATTGTCTAACTTTATACCTCAACTTTTAAAAAATAAATAAATAAGAGGGCATGTGCAGGTCATGACGTGCAGATCACATGTCAAAATGACAACTAATGCCCTTAAAATGGAGGTAACAATCAGTACATGTCAAAAACCGTTAAATATTAAACATACGTTATTATAAGTACTGCTTATGTCACAAATTACAAAATTCAAGGGGTTTAATTGCCAAACTTTTTAGTTCAGGAACTGCTTGTCCAAATGCGACATGCTTTGGGTACCTATGCGAAAAAGCCATATTAAAAAAGAAAAAAAACTTATTTAAATAATAATATCTCCTTTCACTTATGTTGTGATTGCATAGAGAGGATCTAACCAAGTAATTATTCAACATCCCTATTTTTTTGTGTCACATGTGTTATTTTGTTAAATTTTGTAATCAAAAGAGTTTATTTGTTAATATAGGAGAAACGAATGTTACATTTTGAAGAATGAGGGGCACATTGTATAAAAGCTATAGTTGAAGGGGAATTTTTGTAATTAATCTCTTCTTTTGTTTTGTTCTTTTTGTAGTATCTTCAAACATCACTGAGTTAAGTTTGTCTAAATTTTCTAAAGGAAGACTGAAGTAAATATCAGATTTATAGTAAATAATTAAAATAAATAGTAGATTTTAAAACTATTTAAAATAAATAATAATTTATCGTGTAAATGATCTTTTCACGGCCAGTAAAAAGATTTTTTTTTCCATGTAAATTTTCTTTTTACGTCTAGTAAAAGGACTTTTTTTCCACGTAAATAAAACAACATAAATTATTTTTTACCAGTCATAAATGAAATCTTTACAAGGTAAACTGTTATTTACTTCAAATAATTTTAAAATGTGTTATTTACTTAATTTAGTTTTATAAATCTTCTATTTATTATAATTTCCCTAAACTCTTGGACCAAATGTTGACATGAATGGCATTATGATATTGACATCTTTGGAAGTTTATGTTTTGTGCTGACAATCTCACGACTTTTGTGCTGAAAATCTCACGAGTTCTTTTTTCTTTAAGTTCGATCTTAACTTTTCTGGATTTAGGGTTTGGAAATAGTAACTCTATATTCAAGATATTTGTTCTAAAACTACAACCTGACTATGTAAAACTACCCAAGACATCTTTGCTATCACAGAGTTTAAATAAATATCAACTCTTCATCCCATTAACAATGACAAAGAAATGATGGACAATGGCGGAGTCAAAAAATTTTTTGATGGGTTACTATGAAAAATAATTAAAGATAACTTTTAAGAACATAATTATGAATTTCTATTATTTGAGTGGGAACACATATAACGTTTCCTATACAATGAGATCGTAACTATTTTTTTTTTTTTTAAACAAAGCATAAAAATCAAATTTCTAAAGTCAATATGGGTCAGAATGCCCATGATCACTGCTATGTCAAAAGCAGCGGTTTACTTCTCCGCACAAAAGCAACAGAATTCCCTTCTTTCATTGTATTTTGTGTTTATTTCTATATATATTTTATAGGTTCTCCACAAGGTTAACTCGCGATTTATGTGAGACATAGATGATTAAGAAATAGAGAGAGAAAGATAAAGAAGATGTTGAGGTTAAATTTTGTACATCATTTCTCACCGTACACGTGTCAACACGTATCTTGGAGAGTTAGGGTCATTTGCCAAACTAGTAGTTGGAATTGTCTACAAGTTGCCAACAGCTCGCCAGTCACAGATCGTCAAACGAGTCCCCACCAGACAGGCTTGAGTCGGCCACTTCCCAAGCCTAGGAAAATCTTGCCAAAACGACTTAAGCACCTCCGGATGAGCCACGAGCTCTTGAAATCTCGTGGGCCGCTACTCAATGGGCAGACAGCTCACTGACGAACTGTCCGATGGCCTAGATGACTTGGCGCCCAAGATTTTAGATTTGGGATAGATTTTCCACAAAATCCTCTATCCTAATTGTCCAAATACATATTTAAACGAGGATATCTCCTCTAAAAAAGGGATTACTTCATCTCCGAGTTAAAAATTCAAATGAGACCTTATCCAACAGGGATTCAGCCACCAAGCCTATAAATAGGGGCATAGTTCACGCCCTAAGCTTCATCTATACGTACAAGAGAGCGAGCCCAACCTCCAACATTGTTCTTCACGCATCCTCAGGCAAATTTAGAGCATATTTTAGCGGAGTTTGAGGACTAGTTCACCCCAATTCTCTCATATTTTCCCTATTTTCCTGAATTCCATTCTTCTTTTCTCCTCTTCTTATTCTTAACGGCGTCGTAATTATTCTCCGACTATAGTAGAAGCATACTAAAGACCCTACACAGGACGTAATTCTCATTAACGAGCGAATCTCTAATAAAATTCCCATGTCTCTACCTTATTTTATTTTTCTACATTTATTTACCACGATCCAATACTAACATCGCGAATTGTCTGGATTTAGTCATTGACCTCATATAAATTCAACCGTAGAACTTCACCCTCTACAGAAGAAGAGAAGAATTTTGATGGAGAAAAGAAGAAGAGGGAGAGACTAGAGAACAACATAATATAAAATATTTGTGTTCAACTAATCATCAAAGTCTGAACTGGAAAATACAAATATCATACTACTTTATAGACTTTTAAAGTCTTAAAATAAGATAAACAAAACCAAATAATCAAATTGCATAGATAACTCCTAAATAATCCAAATAGATAATCACAACTATAAATTCAAATATTCTAAATAATCCTACTTGATAAACATGTTATTTAAACTTCTTATTGTTCCCAGTTTGTTCCTCATCAGCGATACTAGGAAGTTTGCCACAATCATAATGATTAATACTAAATATCTTGCGGAAAAGGAATCTATAAAATATTGTATCCCTGAAGAGCTTCACAACCCAAGAAGAACCTCCTTGCACCCATCCTGACAAATATAATCCTGTGATCAACCAAGTGGCGCGCCACCTTCTTTCCTCGACATAATTTGCTAATGCTCTAGCCATTTCATTGGGTACAAGGCCACCATTTTGTATGAAGGATGTTCCAATGTGCCTACCTAGAGCCACAGCATCTTCAAGCGCCGAGCAACCGCCCTGTCCCAAGTCCGGCGTCATGGGGTGCATGGCGTCGCCAGCCACCGTGATGTTTTGCTTGCTTAAGTTCCCAAATGCTACTTTCCATGGCTGCCTAAACACCAATGGAGCCCATGACAATGTTGAAAGATCAGAGTGCTTGACAATGTCTAGATATAGTTCAGGCAAGTCCTTGGCATAGTTTTCAATTACTTCTTTCTGTATTAGTTCCGGGTTTCCAGCCAGGTGATCCGTCCCTGCAATGAAGTATGTGTGAAATAAAACATAAAAAGTTAGTGCACATGTTATTTGGTAGGGGCATCAATGCAATATTATTATTTTTTTTTTTTTTTGAGGATGCTAATTCTTCAATTTTATTAGTATGACATGGTAAATTGGATTTATTTGATGCAGAACAAATGATTGTTTAGCATAAATAATGGTGGTAGCTCCCTTATGGCTTATGGTTGAATGACACAATGGTCGTTGTGCTTCTGCAAGACCTGTATCCTACCACATGACTTAATGTGTGACTGAAAACAAACTAAAAAAACAAAACAAAGTGATTATAACAAAAACATCCCTAATATTTTGTCGAAATATATTGTGTCCTGTCTTATGTTTTTAAAAATGTTGTACTTATCCCTACACGTTTTACAAACTCTGCTTAAAAAACCCCCAAATATAAGATAGAACACAACATTTCAAAGAACAGTAAAACACATGGGGATTTTTTTATTTTATTTTGTTTAATTATTATCCCAAAAGCAAATAATGATTGTTGCAACTCCTGTTATTCAGCAAGTTGTGACAGTACAAGAATAAGGACTCCTTAGAGAGTAGAGAAAGGCGTGGTATTCGAACCTTCAGCTGGAGATGAACAACTCAAGAACCAATAGAGGTCTTTATCAGTAAGGGGAATGAAACCAGCCCTTCTTCCCGCTGCACCTACGAACTGGTGGGTTTCGTGTTTCAGCCGATGGCCTTGAGGAAATACAGCCAATCCCCGCACTGCTGATCGACCGGAATGGACTGGTGCGGCGAGTCCCAACCAGCTTGCCACCACTGAGTGTACCCCGTCACAACCTATCAAAACCTACAATTCCCGAAGAGCAAACAAATTCGAGACTCTATGAGTGGTGAGGATAGAATGAGCATTCTATTATAATATAATACTATTGTTCGCCCACCTTCTATCAGTTTAAGCTTTTGGGATGACACGTAATGTACATTAACACATTGTGTGTCTGTTTTATGACTATATAATATGAAAGCGGGAATACTGCATAACTAACATGAGTAGGCATTAAGAGAACAATACCTTTGCTTTGATGACACTTCCATCTTCCATATGAACAACAGCAATAGAAGAACCTTCATCTGTTATTGACCCGATGGCGTTGATCTTGGATGAAAAGCGGATAGAGTCGGTTGGTAATTCTTCTGCCAAAGCCTCGAGTAAGGCCTTTCGGTGAACTAACTTGGGTCCACTTTGAGCATCACTTCACATACAAAGACAACAAACACAAAATGCAGATAAACAAGGATGTTACATGATAATCCCTTGAAAGTAGCTTTATAGTTGTAAATAAATGCTAAATGAGAAGATCATTGCTTACACATTGGTTCTAGCGGAAGGGACTTGTTGAATTGCTCCACTTTCCAAATTGGTTACAAACGCCCTACAGAAAAAATCGCCAAGAGTGAATAGAAAGCTGAAAATATTCATGTTTGTTAACTTCCACGGATGAAATGTTCATTTTCTGTGTGTGCGTTGAACAATCCATAAAACCGTTATAGAATGTTCAAACAGCTTAGAGAAGCATCTCTGAATCTTGTTTGTCTGGATGTACAACATCTTTGTTGCTATCTTCTTATTCTTTGAGATCATTACTTTTTTATTTTTAGCGATGAAGTTAATCTGATAGTACAATCCTACCAACAAAGAACTTGTTCAATAGCCATTTGGGTCAATAAATGAACTTAAAGTAGTTCAAGATTAAGCCTAAAGAAAAAAAGGCCAGGAAAAAATCCGATGAAACATATGTAGTGTCTATTTAGCAGAGTTTCCTAAAAGCTTCTTTTGACTTCTTAGATTTAAAAACCGCTTCTAAAAATGTTTAATTAGATGTTCCGTTAACCTTTTAGACAAATTTTTAATCAAAGCCTCAAAATAAGACTTTTCTTTGACTTCTAAAGAAAAGAAAAGAAAAAAAATATGAACAAACTTTGAAACTTATACTAGAGTTTCATTAAAGAACTATAAATTAAGATTTTTTCTAATACAAATTTATTTTAATTATAAAATATTCACACTTTTTTAATTTGATATAACTTTTATACATATATAGTGATTAAAAAACATATCCTATCGATATGTTAATTTAGTACTTATCAAAAAATTTAAAAATTGCCCAATTATTACGTTCTTAAAAAATATGGTTCTAAACATTTACTAAAAAATTATAACTTTTACTCATTTTCTTCATCTACTAATTAAAAACAAGAGCTCTGTTAAACAGATGCGTCTTGTCGAAGGAAAGAAAGCACTTACACTTCAACATTGTCGTAGATTGAAGTAAGCTTATGAGAAACACCCAAGGCATCAAGAGCAAGCCAAGCATTTGGGAAGAGACCCAAGGCTGCACCAGTGGCTCTAAGCCCATCCCATCTCTCCAAAACCAATGCTTTAATCCCCACTCTCTTTAGAGCCACTGCTGTGGCCAACCCAGCTATCCCTGCTCCCACTATTACCACTTCTTCCATCTCTCTCTCTCTCTCTCTCTATATATAAATATCTCTCTCTCTTCCCCCTTAATTTTTAATCATAAATGTCTTGAGGGCATTAGAATATACATACATACATACATACATACATAGTAAACTCATGTTTACATGACTTTGACAAGGTGGCGGCTATGTATATATAACCCTGACTCCGTTTATTTTGTCAATTCGAGTTTAAAATTTGAGTTTTATTATAGTCAAAATTCTTAAAAATAATTACGTCTAATTTTTTTACTACAATAAAAAACTCACATAATATCACATTTTAATTCGAATTAAAAATTTAAATTAACGAACTAAACGGATTCTTTATTATTTTTATTTTTATTTTTTCTTTTAAGACTTTTCAAAAAGAAAAGAGATTCAATTAACAAACACTTGGAAAGAAGTCAATATTCTTGTTTGACAAGGCTTTTCCCTTTTCTTGTTTTGAGAAGAAGTACAGTGCAACACGAATACGCTACTATAGAAGTCCTAATCACATAATCGGGAGAATTCTCTCGTGGAAAACAGCTTCGAAAACTCAACACTTTTTGATTGGGAGTTTAGAACTACTATTTAAATATATAATGAAAAAATGCTATATATATAGGCGTTACATCAATATTAATGTGGGGGAGAAATTAGTCATTAGACTAGACGTTATACTCCCACCAACCAAAAAGTTTACATTTAATTGTCTAGTCAAAATCACTGTAAGTACTTATAAGTCTCGTTCACTTCGCGGATTCGAGTTTTTAATTTGAGTTGAGATGTGACATTTTCTGAGAGTTTTTTATTGTAACAGAAAAAATTAGATGTGACATTTTCTGAGAATTTTTTACTGTAAAAACTTAAAATTGAAAACTGCGTAGAGGATTTCTTAGGAAAACTAATTGAGGGTATAATCACAATCACCATTTATATATATACATATGCATATAAAATATTAAATAGTTTTTTATTTGTCTACGATTATATATATATATATATATATGTAAAATAATATCTATATCTATAATCTATATAATACAACTAATGTTCATTGGCAGTCAAACATTCTAGAGTCCTTGACCAAAGAGGTGGCTATATATAATCCTAAAACGACATTGAAATAATAGGTGTTTACATTGAGACACAGACGTGGGTACATTCCGAGTATATGGATTGGGTTAACAATTCAAAACTTATTACATTCTATACAGAATGCTTTTATATTTCTAAAACCTCCAATACGTGTAATCTTCTTTTCTGAAAGCCTTGAATTTTCATAAGTTGATCTTATTGACTGTTATTCAAAAGGTGAGACCCTATAAAATAACAAGGGTTTTCTATACTAGGGCCCGTTTAGTTTGTTGATTCGGGTTTTTAATTTAAGTTGAGATGTGACTTTATGTGAGTGTTTTTTACTGTAGTAAAAAAGTTAAATGTGACTGTTTTTTAAAACTTTTTACTGTAGCAAAACTCGAATTAGTGAAATGAATGGGGACCCATGTGTTTTATCTAAATTATGGAGACACCCCTACATCAGAATATTTTGACTATTATAATTTTGAGTTTTCATAAAGATTACAAAAGAATCCCCTCCGTTAGTCAAATATGATAGAATAGTGTAATTTGACAGTTAGATCATCTCCAACCGTGTTAGTTATTCCCGTTTAATTCTCTAGTTTAGTTCAATTCAATTCACTTCGAATGGTGAGCACAATTTAAATTTGTATTTGATAAGCATGCAATTTGAATGTATTTTCTGTTTGAATTGAGTTAAACTGTCTAACTTATAGCTCTCCTCTTAAGTTTAGCCGTTCAAACCATTTTTAGAGAGTAAAAAAGTGCATACAATCTTTGCTTTTCATACCAACAAAAAAACAAATTCGAATTTTATTCCTCGTTCAATTTAAAATTTTAACTATACATCCAAAAGCTAATTCAAACTATTATTAAAATTACACAGTTTGAATTTTTCTGTTCAAATAAAAAAATTTAAATCAATAAAATTTGAATCAACGAACCAAACGGGGTTCATGTTTTTAGCCTAAATGGCTAATGACGTGACCTTTTTTTTATTCACTATGCTAAATGGTTAGCTATTTAAAAAATGCATTTTACATAGTCAAATATAACTAATAAGAAGGGGCTAGCATTTGATTTTTTTATTATTTTATTCTTTGAAACTATTACTTTTTTAATTAGTGAGTTAATTACTTTCAAACGATAATAAATGCAACAATTAAATAATATTAAAATAATATATATTTAGTTAAAATATGAAGTGAGATTGGAGTGACTCACTGTCAATTCTTTAGAAAATGATTATAGCTAAATAACCTAAATTTAAGACCTAAAGTAGTGACATTTTACCCTTTAAAGTCAATAAAATTATGTTAAATGATCTTTTAAACACACAAAATATAATTTGTACTTTAGTAGTGTAAAAATAACATTAACAAGGACCAAGATCAATGCAATAAATAATTCAATGGTTGAGATTGTTAATTTTGGTTATTTTACATTAAAAGACAATAAAATTAGGACAAGAGGTGTTGACTTGAAATGTTTTGCTTAAAGGGTGTCTCTGCAATTTAGATAAAACTAGCCTGAGTCACGTGCTTACTGTGTGGTTATGTTTAAAAGAAATTGTTACAATATTCTCATAATAGAAAAAGTCTTATTTAATTAATCATAATAATTTTTATTAAATTATGTTAAATGCTCATTTTCTTTAATTCAGCTTAATTTTAATTGTTTGAAGTTTCATTATTTTGTGAGAAGATCAACTTACTTGGTTGAATGAAATTTGAAGGAAATGTTTAATAGTAACGGGAAATAATATTAATTTATTTAATTATCAAAATTTTATTAAATTGCCCATATCATTTAATAAAGTAAATATAAAATAAATAAAAACTTTAAACACATTTGAGAATAATTAATTCAATAAAGTAATTAAAAAAATGTATAGAGGTCATGTTTGAAAATGATATTTAGAATACTTTGTAAGAAATATTTAAATTGAAACATAAAGAACAAATAAAAAAATATAAATTATTGAGGATAAGACTATAAATAATAAACATAAAGTCTCATTTATTTCACCGATTTAAATTTTTTTATAATAAAAAACTCTTAGAAACAATCACATTTAACTTTTTATTATAGTAAAAAATTTTCATATAAAAATTTAAATTATAAACTCAAAGCAGCGAACTAAACGAACTCATAAAAATTTAACTTGATTTTGATTACATTATTTTGTTTCACCTGACCCGGTTGTTCACACAGCAAAAAGAGAGCCAAAAAAAAAAAAACCAAACTCAAAGACAGCTGGGCACGCTTTCCCACGCATCTCTCTATAGAAAAGCACCAAAAAGTCCAAGGCAACATAAACTGAAAAAAATTAAGACCAAGGGCAAAATCGTACAAACAGACCAAATCCCAGTTGAAATTCCCAAAAGCCCGCACCGAGCAAAAGAAGAGAAGAAGGGACAAGACAGACATTTCAGAGAGAAAGGGCAAAAAGGAATATACGCTGTTTAAAAAAAATAACTCCACTGCATAGTATAATATAGTGTTAATGGTCATGTTTGGAGTTTATTTTATTTTTATTTTTCACGTATTTTAAAAAATAAAAATAAAAATAAAGAGAAATAATTTTTGACATAATTAAAAATAAAAAAAATAAAAATATATTTTTTTATTTAGTGTAAAATGAGAGAAAAATAAAAAAATAATTTTTAGTTATTTTTTATTTTTTATTTCTATTTTCTTTTCTCTTAGCACACAAAAAGAAAGACATTAATATATATTTTATACTAAAAATAATATCTTAATAAAATTATCAAATCTATTTTTAAAAATAATTTTTATATAAAATTAAAAAAAATTATTTTTAAATAAAAAATAAAATTATCTTAAAACGAATTTTAAACGTACTAATATGTTCTCGTTTCTCCCAAAACAATAAAGTACGGTACTCTTATCACTATAAAAGAAGTTGCTGATTTTCTATGTACAAATTTTCAGTCGTATTTGGACGGCTCAAGTTTGTTTGACACGATTCCTCAATATATATATATATATATATATATCGTTTGACAAAAAAGATGCTGATAGAACAACAGATGTCAAATAACAGACACTTGCAAAGAAGACAGGATTCTTCTTCTTCTTCTTCTTTCTTTTTTTTTTTTTTTTTTTTTTTTTTTGGGTTGGGATTTACCATTTTTTTTTTTTTTTTTTTTTTTTTTTTTTTTTTTTTTTTTTGGGTTGGGATGTACACGTTTCAGAAGAAAAGTTCAATTTGACAAGTTTTTCTTTCTTCTCTGTTTTTGACAAACCAACAATGATGAGTATCAGGCGGAAAGGAATTGGGTATGCTTCCTCACTCTCTTCTCCACTTTACCCTTTGTCTCTCATACCTGTGTACCTTATTTAGGGCATATTTAAATCGTTAATTTTAATTTTTAATTGAAATTGAAATATAATTTTATATGAGAATTTTTTACTGTAATAAAAAAATTAGATGTAATTATTTTTTAGAATTTTTTACTGTAGCAAAACTCGAATCGGTGAAATGAACGAGATTATTTACTCAATAAATATTATTAACATTTAAATAAATTGTATCAAATTAAATATAAAATTGGTCAACATAATATTAATATCTCATGAAAACAAATAAAGGTCTCTAAAAATAACTAACCAAATCTCAAAAACAAATGAAACCAAATTCTAAAAATTCAATGGAAGACCTAATAATTAATTAAATTCTTCGAAGTAAAACATTAAATAAAGTTACTATAGTTACTATTTATAAGAAGAATTTAGTAATTATTAAGGTTCTTTAAGATAGTAAAATACTAAAATACTTTTAAATTTTTTAAAATCCATATTTTGTAAATGCTATAAAATATATTTTTTAAAAAATATGTATTTGTATAACGGGGCTGCGGTGGGGTGGGCGGGTACTTCTCCCGCCCCCGTCTCGCTTCTGATTCGGGAAACAATATAATCCCCCACACTTGCCTTCAT